GGTCAAGGCTACAGCACCTGTAGTCATACCCAAGAATGGGGTGTAGGGCAAGCCAGGCTATATCAACCAGCTCACACAAAGACAAGACAGAGAGGGGCAGACTATTCTGGGTAAGGGCCTAGCACCCACTGTCACATGTAAGATCTGGGTCTGGGAGCGAGGTCTGGTAGAGGAACTTAGGAAACTCCCCTGCTGGACCATGGCTTCCAGCAGTAAACATGTGATTCAGACCTGGGTGTTGGTCAGGCTGGGTAATACTGCTCCACTTGTTGGCAAGTGTGTGGGATGATTTCTGGAGCAGGGAGGTGGATCAGGCAGGGCTAAGCCACACCTTAGCACACTGGTATGTGTAGGAGTCAGGACGAAGTGCGGGCCATGCTGAACTAGGCTATCACACCTACTGGTTTGCATCAAAGCCAGGGATGGGGCAGGCTGGGCAGGGATAGGCTGCAGCATCTGATAGCAAAGGCCAAAACAAAGGTGGGCTATGCTGGGCTAGGTCAGAGCAACCATTTGCACATGCAAGATCTGTGGCTGGGAGCAGGCCTGGTTGGGAAACTAAGGAGACACCCTGGCTGGGTTGTGATTTACACTGTTAAGCACGAGGGCCAGACTTGGGGAGGTGAACTGGGCTGGACATAGCTAGAGTATCCCTTGGCAAGAGTGTGGCCTGGGTCTGCAGTGTGTCAGACTGGGTTAGACCCCAGCATTTGCTGATGTTTCCAAGAGCCACAGTAGAGTATAGGACAGGCTGGACCAGGTCTTGGCACCCCCTGAACCACATGAGAGCCGGGTCTAAGGTTAGACCAGGGAGGGCTGGGTTGTAGTATCCAATAATAAGAGCAAAAATTAGTGCGTGTCATTTGAGCAAGGCCATTATTCCTCGCAAGACAGGAGCAGTACAAAACTGGGTTGAGCCAAGCACACACCGGTGTGTGCAAGATCTGCCATGGGGATGTAATGTAAAACAGGAACTTGGGGAACTTGTCTGTCAGGATACAGTCCCTGCAAGTGAGCACAAGAACCAAGGCAAGGATGGAAGCAGCCCAGACCAGGCCAGGTTATAGTACCTGCCAGCATACGTGTGGGTCCGGTCAGGCGGCAGGCCAGGCTAGACCAGTTCATAGCAACCACTGGCAGATTTGAGAACCAGGACAACAGAAAAGGGTGCGGGACAGGCAGGGTTGGACCACAACAATCACCAGTCCACATTAGGCCTGGGACTGGAGGCTGGCTGGACTGGGTGAGGCTGCAGCACCCAAAAGCATGAGCTGGAACTGGGGTAGGCCCGAACAGGTCAGGCTACACCACCTGCTGGCTAACGCAGAGGTTAGGCAGGCCACAGCAGACTGGGCTGCAGCATCCACCAGCCCTTGTAGGCCCAGCAGGAGAGGAGTGATCTAGGTGGTGGGACAGCAAGAACTCCCTGTTGGACCATGCTCCCACAGGTGAGTGTGAGAGCTTGGACTTCGGGCAGACCAGGCTGGGCAGGGCTGTAACATACATTGGCCTACGTGTGAGCTACATGTGAGTCAGCTGGGCTAACCAACTGTATCCACTGGTACATGTATGAGCTAAAGTAAGGGTAGACTGGTTGGGCTTTGCCCCCAGCATTAGGTGGAAAATGCTGGAAATGAGGGAAAGTCCTGTCAAGCTAGGCTATAGAACCATCTGGAAAGTGCAAGATCTGGGGCTCAGTGTAGGCCTAGTAGGGAAACTGTGAGCTTTAGCACATTTGTCAGAACTGGGCTCCTCAGCTGCCAAAAACAATGCAGTAGATAGCATGCTGTATCTACTCATGGGGAATACAGCAATCCATCAAGGCCTGCAGAGGACATCTAGCACCACAGCACAGGATGGAGGGCCGAAGAAACCGGACAACTCTCTCAGCCAAGCAGTGACAGCAAGTATCTTGGCGAGTAGAGACTTTAGGGCGGACTATGTCAGCCAATGGACCTTGAAGGGATCTCCTCATCCTGGGAGGAACAAAATCAATATTTCAAGCCCGGCGTGATAGCGTAATGGTTAGGGTCCTTGCTTGTATGTGCCAGGATCCCATATGGGTGCTGGTTCTAATCCCGGCAGCTCCACTTCCCATCCAGCTCCCTGCTTGTGGCCTGGGAAAGCCAAGGACGGCCCAAAGCCTTGGGTTCCTGCACTCACGTGGGAGACCAGAAAGAAGTTCCTGGCTCCTGGCTGTGGACTGGCTCAGCTCCAGCCACTGCACTCACTTGGGGAGTGAATGATTGGACAGAATATCTTCCTCTCTGTACATCTGACTTTGCAATAAAAATAAATAAATCTTTTTTTTAATAAGGTATACATAGCAAATAAAATAGTAATGTTTAACAAACTTGGTGGTAAGGGTTTGTGCTTACATTGTCTGTCATACTTTTCCACATGTGCTTAAAACACTACACAAGTACAAGGAATAAAGATTTGGGTTATAAAACACCATTTTCAGCTGACTACTCTCATTAAACTTCAAATCTTTCCACTGTAAATAAGATTATACACAGTCACCCACAAAAGGAAAACCTAGTCTATGAGCCAGAGTGGTCCACATCACCATATTCTACTAAGAACCAAAGAAATGAAGCCCAGGACAATCTGTGGAGTGAAAAAAGCTCTAATTGCTATCTTCAGTGCATATGCTGCCTAACATAGATGACTGCAACAGTACTTAAAGTTATATAAAGAAATCAATTAGCCAAACACCAGGTTAATCAGATGAAAACTGATATGACTGAACTAGATGAACCAACTCAATTTCAGTCTCACTGGTTTGAAACTCAAGATCCCACGTCCTGGAACCTTTAGTCTCAGGTAAACAGACAGCCAGTCAAGCTAACTTCTGATAACATCAAAACTTTACATTCAGAAGAGCATTTTGTTACTATCTAGCAAAAACCTATTTTTAAAAAGATTTATTTTTATCGGAAAGGCCAATTTACAGACAGAAGGAGAGAGAGAGAAAAGATCTTCCATACACTGGTTCACTCCCCAAGGGTCCACAATGGCCAGAGCTGAACCAATGTGGAGCCAGGAGCCTCTTCTGGGTCTCCCACGCAGGTTCAGGCTCCCAAGGCTTTGGGCCACCCACCGCTCACTGTTCTCTCAGGTCACAAGCACAGAGCTGGAAGGGAAGGGGAGCATCCAGGATACAAACTAGTACCTATCTGAATCCTGGGCTACCACACCTGGTCCAAAACTTATTTCATAGATGAGAAAAATGAGGACTCTTAGATCCTCAGCATATAAAGGAAACTTTCAGGCCATCTTGTAGTCTGATTCAATTGCTCATTCAATGGGTAAACTGTCTACAGAGATACCTGGGGGCATTCCTTTATTTTTCTTTAAAATATTACCTATTACCCATTTATTTGAAGACATAAAGAAAGAGCACTTCTTTCTCCTGTGCCAATACTGATGACTGCTGGAGCACAATCCAGGGCTCCCCCAGTGGCAGGATCCATCAGTGTGGTTTCGCAGGTCTGTACTGGCAGGAAGCAGGAGCCAACAGCTATAGTGGTACCAAACCCAGGTAACTCTGAGAAGGGATGCCAAGTGTCTTAAGCACTAGGCATCTGAACACCTGCTCCTTTTTATCCTTTTGTAACTGTTTTTAGTGACAAGTAGGACCCACAGGCAGCTCCTGCTTTGTTAGACATTCTAAAATTCTGAGAAAAATATTTTCACTAATGCACAACCCGTTTCCTGGTAACTTCCACCACTATATACAATACCACCTTCTGGTTCTACAGAGGTTAAGTCTGACTGCTCCATCTCAGGTGCACAGTTTATAGCTGGTCTGTTTTCTCCTCCATTCGGTCTCCAACCCTAAACTCTCCCCACCCAGGCAGATATGCTTTCCCTGTGAGCAGTTGCCAACAGTCTCTGTTCAATGCCACAGATTGCATCCCTCTCCTGAGGCCCTCCTTCACACATTAAGGATGTTCACACCTTAGCTGTGTCTGGTGCAATCATTCCATCAATGAATACTCAGTGAAAGCTGTAAGGGACTATTCCAGGTAACAGGAAAATGAAGCAAGGGCCTGGTGGTGTGGCCTAGCGGCTAAAGTCCTCACCTTGAACACCCCAGGATCCCACATGGGCACTGGTTCCTATCCTGGCAGCCCTGCTTCCCATCCAGCTCCCTGCTTGTGGCCTGAGAAAGCAGTCGAGGACGGCCCAATGCTTTGGGATCCTGCACCCGGTGGGAAACCTGGAGGAAGTTCCTAGATGCTGGCTCCGAATCGGCACAGCACCGGCTGTTGTGCTCACTTGGGGAGTGAATCATCGGATGGAAGATTTTTCTCTCTATCCTCCTCTTCATATATCTGACTTTGTAATAAAAATAAATAAATCTTAAAAAAAAAAAAAATGAAGCAAAATGTACTTGGCCTTGAAGAGAGGGCCAGCACTGTGGTATAGTTACTGGCCGGCCGCGTTTCAGCCTCCAGCATTGGCATCCCATATGGACACTGTTTCAAGTCCCAGTCCAACTCCCTGCTTACGGAATGGGAAAGCATTGAAGGATGGCACAAATCCTTCAGAGCCTGCACCTGCGTGGGAGACCTGAAGAAAGGTCTGGGCTTCCAATCAGCTCAGCTCTGGCTATTGCAACCATTTAAGGAATAAACCAGCAGACGGAAAATCTCTGTCTCCCCTTCTCTTTGTCCAACAAAAATAAATCTTAAAAAAGTAAGAGAAAGGCAGTTAAAGTAAGAAATAAGGTGAACCACAGAAAAATCCAGGGAAGGCTTTCATCACGAAGGTGTCTGAACCAAGCAGGAACCAGATCAAAACCCACCTCCTGAACTGAACTGTATCTTCCAGGCCCAAAAGGTACAATGCTCTACCCTCCAAGTTCAACAAGACATAAGCTTTTTAAAGCAGGAAAAGTTCACTCAGGCCCCTCGGCATCGTTTAGGTGGTGAGGAGGGTTAAGAAATGAATCCCTCAGAAAACAAGGAAGGTTTGAGAAGCTGCCACTGTACCTGACTACGGACAGCACTGCTCAGGTGGTTGTCTTCAGACATCTGTGCATTCTGGAAGTAGGACAAGGGTGCAGGCAACTCTGTCATTGGAGCAACTGAGCACAAACGCCTCGTCACAGAAAACACAGCTTCTGAGAGCTCTGAAAAGGGCGAGAAAAGCAGAACTTTGTGTATTATGATTACAGCTTTATTTTAAACACTATCATAAATTACTCTTAGAAGACACATACCTGTCTTTCATATGTTCTCTGCCAGGCCACGCTGCCTAAGGACCTCACAGGCTGCAGTCAGTGGAGGCTCCCAGATTAGGTCTGAAATAAGATTTTTGTTTTTTAAAACCTTGACTAATTTATTTGAAAGTCACAGGGAAAGAGAGGGATAAAGAGATCTTCCATCTGCCAGGAGTTTCATCCAAGTCTCCCATGTAAATGGCAGAGGCCAAATGACTTGAGCCGTCTACCCACGCTTTTTCCCAGGCGATTAGCAGAAAGCTGCATTGGAAGCAGATCTGCCAGGACAGCAATCAACATCCACACGGGATGCCACTGTCACAGGTGGCAGCTTTACCTGTGACACCACAGCAATGAGCCTGAAGCAAGATTTTATGAGATCACTCTAGAGTTGATTAAACCAATCATATACTATAAATCTGAAAAAGAAACACCATATTCTTCAACTGACAAATGTACTGTTAGCTTAAGGCACCTCTTTGGCAATGAGTAGATCTACCTGACAAGGCAAAAATCGCTATATTTAAATTATATACTCATTTCATTTTATTTGAAAGGGGAGAGTGACTGAAAAGACACAGTGTGAAAGGGATGGGGGACAGGAAAGAGTGAAACCAGGGTGTGGGCGAGAGGGCCGCACAGAGAGCATCGTGCTGCTTCGCTCCCGAAGCAAGCTTCCGCTGGGCTGAGCCAGGCCACCGGCAGGACCCAGAACCCAGCGTGAGACTCCCACAGGCTGCCAGGGATCCTCCTACTGAACTGCTGCGTCCCCAAGGCGGGCATCGGCAGAACGCTGAAACTGGAAACAGCTGGACTCGAAAGGCAGAGCGGACTATGTGGCACATTCATCCTAAGCAATGCCTTCCCCACTGCACTAAACCCCTCCCCGCAAGCATTTTCAAACACAGAGAAACAAAAGGACTTTAGATTCACAGCAAAGCAAGTTACATTATTTTAGCAATGTTCTCTTCAATCTTTTTTTTTTCCTATAGTGACCAATTACCTAATTTTTATATCTAGAGCTTTTAAGCTTGCAAAACTCTATCATCTTGTTTTATCCTTATCATGATGTCACAAGGCAGAGTGAACAGCCAACATACTATTCTGTCAAAGTGGAGAAAAAATGGCGTTGTTTGGAGACTTGTTTCAGAACCTAGCTGAGCAGACAGCAAAAACCCTGGACACACACCACCAGTCACCTTCGCGTCCTGCACCACCTAAGACGGGAGGGTCCCCGCAGAGCTCCTCTGGGGAACCAGAATCTATTGGACAAATATTTATGACTTCAACTCCTCCTTTTCATAGAAAGTCTTCAGAAATATGGAAGGGAAAAATCTGTTTATATACCTAGCAGTATTTTAATTAACATGTAATAGCCAAAATAAAAATATTTTATTAATATTGTTTCATTTCCAATTTTAATTCTGGACCCTCTGCGCTCTAATTTTTTTTCTGTTTGTTTGTTTTCCTCTTTTTTTTTTTTAAGGATTTGTTTTTACTGCTAAGTCAGATTTACAGAGAGAGAAGGAAATATAGAAAAAAAGATTTTCCATCCGCTGGTTCACTTCCTAAGTGGCTGCAACAGTTGGAGCTTATCTTATGCCAGGACCCAGAAGCTTATTCCTGGACTCCCACTTGGGTGCAAGGTCCCAAGGCGTTGGGCCATCCTCAACTGTTTTCCCAGGCTCAAACAGGGAGCTGAAAGGGAAGTGGAGCAGCTGGGACATGAACCAGCACCCATATAGGATCCTGGGCATGCAAGGCGAGGGCTTTAGCCACTCGGATACTGTGACAGGCCCTCACTTGTTTTTCAAGATGTACTTGTTTCTATCTGAAAGTCCAATTCACAAAGAGAAGAACAGAGAGGTCTTCCATCTACCGATTCACTTACCAAATGACCATCAACAATCAGAGATGGGTTGAGCCAAAGACAGGAGCTGCTTCCAGGTTTCCCACATAGGTGAAGGGCCCATGGACTTGGGCCCTCCTCTGCTGCTTTCCTGGATCAGAAGCAGAGAGCTAAATTGGAAGTGGAGCAGCCAGAACACCAGGTTGCCGGTGCCACAGGAGGAGGATTAGCCACCTAATAGAGCACAGCAATAGCTCCTAATTTCAGGCTTTCACTCTAAAGATTTTTCATGAGAAACAAAAAAGTGGGTTGGACACTTAGTTTAGCAGTTAAAACGCTAGTTGGGGGAAGAAGGGTCTTTCAAATAAAAATAAATCTGAAAAGACAAATGCTTTCCATGTGTCTCTGCTTCCTGTTAACACAGCCCTTGGGTGGCAGTGGTAACAGCTCAGATAACTGGGCTTCCAGGTGGAACACCAGGTTCTGGCCAGGTCCAGTCCTGGCTGTTGTGAGCCTCTTGGTAGTAAGTAGCTCACTCCTTGTCTCAAAGACAACCAGGGGCCGACACTATAGCGCAGCACACTAACTCTCTGCCCAGCATCCCATAGAAGTAGAAGTTCATGTCCTGTCCACTCCACTTCCCATCCAGTCCCTGCTTGTGGCCTGGGAAAGTAGTTGAGGACAGCCAGATGCCTTGGGCCCTGGCTCATGTAGAGACTTGAAGAAATTCCTTGCTCTTGGCTTCAGACTGATCAAATCCCAGTTAGGGAGCAAACCAGCGGATGGAAGACTTCCTCTCTCTCCTTCTCTAACATCTGTCTCTCAATTTTTTTAAAAAAAATAATAGAAAGATATAACATAATTTTTTCTTCTACCAAAAATATTAAGATAAAATTAACCCATAATTTCCTGTATCTGAATCTTCTGAATTATGAATACCATTAATCAAGGTAATTTGCCCTTGTATTCACCAATCTTTATATATGATGGCCAGCTCTCTCTTCCTTTCATGATTCGTTCACAGTTTGCTGGCACAGGATCAGGAAACTGCAAATAACAACCATCATAACTAATATAAATTTGTTTTCAAAAATGAAATAAAATACAAAGGACAAGAGTGGCATTTTTTTTTTCTTCTTCCTTTTAAAATGTATTTATTTGAGCTGCCACCCACACTGCCAGTATCCCATAGGATGCTGAACTGAGTCTCAGCTGCTCCACTTCCCATCCAGCTCTCTGCTAAGGCATCTGGGAAAGCAGTAGGAGTTAGCCCAGGGCTTGGGCCCCGGAACCCATGTAGGGAACTCCGGGCTTCTGGCTTTAGCCTGACATAGTCCCAGCCACTGTAACCATTTACAGAGTGAAGCTAGAATTGGGAGTAGAAAGTAAACCCCAATCCAAGTATTTCCACCAGAGATGTGGGCTCAAGCAGTGTCTTAACCACTGTTCTAAATGTCCATCCCAGTCCTGTCTTTTAATAGGCAGATTTAGAATTTGGCAACATAATGGGGGAGCTTTCAGGAAAATTGTTAAGCTTTCACTTGGGACACCCACATCCAACATCAGAGTGCTTAGTTTTGAGTCCGGCTCCTCCGCTTCTGATCCAGCTTCTTCTGATCCAGCTTCCTGCTACTGGTCTGCTAGATGGGAAGTAGAGTATCCAGTGCATGAATATAGGATCCATTTAGGGTCCTAGTGCTTAAAAGGGAAGGATTAGTCAATCAAGGAATTGAACCAGGACCTAAAATTTTTTATATAAAAAAAGCAAAACCCAAAACAAAAAACCCAACAACGTAAAAAGCTAACACTGCAGCACAGCGAATCAAGCCACTGTTGTAATATTGGTATCCGATATTACACCACTGGTTCAAGTCCTGATTGCTCTACTTTCAGTCCGCTAATGCATCTGGGAACGCAGAACAGATGACATGACCTAAGCACCTGGGACCCTGCTACCCACGAGGGAGACTCTTGGTTCTCCTGTCACTAGGCCATCATCAGTTGCCTTCCTAGGCAACCAGCAGGGAGCTGGACAGGAATCGGAACAGCTGGAACTTGAACCTGTATTCAATGCTGACATGGCAGTGGGTACCTTAGCCCACTGTGCCACAACACTGACTCCTTCATGTAATCTTTAAAAAATAATCCCATAAGAAAAGGAATCTGTATTTACTTATTTTAAAAACTCAGGACCGTTAAAGAAATTTGCCTTGCATAGTTACAGGGCATGGTTAGTACTCATGCCAGTTCCAGAATCCCCATCTTCTGATGGCCACGCGACTCCAGTCCACACTGACATGTCTCAGGCCTGGTGCGTGCACACATACACACACACAATTGGTACAAAGACTCGGGCAGACAAAGCTGGAGTTGATGTTGGCCCAGTAATGTCTGACAGTAACTGAACACTGCATTCAGTGTTCAATGAGTCACTGCTTGGGCAGTGTGGCCAGACGCTGGCGGACCCCACGCCATTCTCACATCAAGACAGCTGCGAGGAAGCAAGGTCCTCCACGTGATCTGGATCACAGGGCGCGAGGCGGGACAAGGGTCAATTCTGCTGTTTCCTCTCTACTTTTACTGAGGATCTGCAAAGCATAGAATGTGAATCTGAATTCACCATCCACTATCCGCTTCCTTCCTCACCAGAAATTTGCTCAATTCCTTTTTTTTTTTTTTTTAAGGATTTATCTATTTTTAGAGCCTGGTGAAGTAGCCTAGCAGCTAAAGTCTGCCTTGCACGATTGTGGATCCCATATGAGTGTCAGTTCTAATCCTAGCTGCTCCACTTCCCTTTAGGCTCCCCGCCTGTGGCCTGGGAAAGCAGTTGAGGACGGCCCAGAGCCTCGGGATCCTACACTCATGTGGGAGACCTGGAAGAAGCTCCTGGCTTCAGTTTGGCTCAGCTCCATCCATAGCAGCCACTTGTTAAGCGAATCACTGGATGGAAGATCTTCCTCTCTCTTTCCTCCTCTATGCATATTTTATTTTCCAATAAAAATAAATAAATCTTTGAAAAAAGATCTATTTTTAGTTGAAAGGCATATTTACACAGAGGAGGAGAGACAGAGAATCTTCCACCAGCTGGTTCAGTCCCCAAATGGCTACAACAGCTGTTGCGAAGCCAGGAGCCAGGAGCTATTTCTGAGTCGCCCACGTGGTACATAGCTCCAAAGCGTTGCCCATCTTCTGCTGCTTTCTAGCAGGCAGCTCGATGGGAAGCAAAGCAGCCAGGACATATGTGATGCTAGTGCTGCCAGTTGGAACAGCAGCCTGCTGAGCCACTGCAACAGCCCTTCAACTCATTGCACAAAAAGAAAAGAAAAAACACTTCTTTGATGGCCAATTAGAATTGTTTTCTATTACAATTAAAAATAATAAAGCCCCAGAGAAATACATGAAGCTTAGATGTAATAAACAGAAAATTGGCCTAATCAGAAATCCTTCTGACCTGGGGCGCTTCAAAAAACGACCACAGGAGCAAGGCTGAGGACCTGAGCACAGGGTCACTAAAACAGCCCTCTCAAGGACACCTGGGCAGCAGAGCACACCTCCCTCCTCTCCCACGGCCCTGAGCAAGCAGCCCAAGCTCTGGGAGACTGTGGCTCCTTCATGATCCAGGCCACGTCCTTCCTTCGCTGTCAGATAGAGGTAAATGACATTGGTATTCCACAAAAACATCTACATGAGACTTAAAGAGAATCCTTCGCAGCTCTCCAGGCCAGGACTTACTTCAAGGTCTAAGCTACTTTAGTTACTCTTTTTCTACAAATGTACTGCACCAGCCTTGGTGCTACCTTTACAGTACCCCCCCACCCCCAGGCAGCCCAGTTCTGATTATGGGAGCGAAGAAGGCCTCTAATGAGCTCTGAAACACTCCCATCCAACAGGAAATGTGCCCGAATTCTAAACTGCATGCTATAAATGACGCTCACAGGAATAACTTTAATTAAACACTGCATGGATACATCCTGGAAACACTCCTCTGATTTTTAAGACATCAGAAGCAAACCACTTCCCCACACCTCAAGCAGGGGCTCTGGGAAAACGGTAGATGCTAAAAAAGAGCAAGGATACTGCTACATCTTATTTGGTGATATTTTATTTTTGTTTCTTCCCACTCCATTTCTGTGAACCATCTGTGGTAAATTAGATTATTATTCAGCAAACACTTCCTCCTCCAGCACTCCTAAGGGAAAACTAGCCAGTGGGCTCTCCACATCCTTAGTTTCTGCATCCTGAGATGAGGGAAGAACCACATTTGTACTCCACACATATACATCTTCTAATAGCAGTTTGGGTGGCACTTACACTGTTTTACTGTTATAAGTAACTTGGAGATGGCTTAAAGTATATACCAAAGGAAGTATATAGGATCTATGCCAATACATAAAGGACGTGAATTCTCAGCTTTTGGCATCTGCAGGGGTCCCGGAAGCTCCTGAGGGACAGCACGTACTTCTCCCTAGGTGCTCTGGGCTTGGCTCCATGCCTTGCTTTAGCTTCAAGGTGGATTCAGAGTACCACCGACCCTAAGCCTTTGGGCATGACCGAATTTCTTCTTTC